GTTTGTCAGAAGGTGTATAGATGGTGAGATTATCCAGAATTCATGCTGCTCTCCCTTCTTCCCCTAGCCAAGCTTTTCTGTTTTAATCATCTTAGAAATGTATCTTTCTCCTTTTCCTTTCTGGGAAATGTGATTAAATTCGTAGCATTAGCTACTGTCTACCACCTGATCACTCCGAGGCCCCTCTCTGGCCCACATATTCCTCCTAAGCTCCAAATCTGTATTTTTGGCCACTTACCAAACTTCTCAGTCCAAAGGGCTTGACAGGCACTTGAACCTCAACCTGTTGTCTCCCAGACCGCGTGCAACCAAGGGTAGCTGGTAAATGCAGCCCAACAGAGAGCCACAAGCTTGGAAGTTTGTGGTAACTCACGCGTGTGGGTCTTGAGCATGAACTTTGTAGATGATGCCACTGTGTTGTCAGAAGGTCGAGCACACCTGACCCGTGTCTGCTTCCTTAGTGTCGATATTTCCCAGGGCAAACACCTCACATGGCATTGATACACAGTCTGTCGATATTTCCCAGGGCAAACACCTCACATGGCATTGATACAGTCTGTCGATATTTCCCAGAGCAAACACCTCACATGGCATTGATATGTAGTCTGCCGAAAGCTGCTCATCTCAGTCCAGCACAGAGGCCTCAGTGTAGAGAGCAAGTGGACTGGGAATTTTGACCCGAGGTCCAGCACAGAGACAGCACAGAACCGAGCACAGCTGACAGCAGTTGTCCCACATCTCCCTGCATGGGTGAGAGGGTGGCGTCTCCGCAGATACCACCCTGCTCCTAGCTGAGGTGCTCTTTAAAGAAGTTAGCACAGCTGGGTGTGCTGATGCATGCTTCTGCTGCATACCAGGTCCGAGGCCAGCCTGGTCTACAGGAGAACCTGCCCCAAAAGAAAAGGCCTGTGGCATGTGTCCCTCACCTCAGCATGAGCAGCTGGGCTGCAGAACAAGTGTGGGTCCACCTGAGCTCTATGAAACCAGCTCAGAAACTTAACAAAAAGTGAGGACTTCATACATGGGAATATAAGTAACAAGCTTTAACCTTCCCAGTGTGGGGATGAACATTTGATGACAAATGAGTCATAGTTTAAGTCAGCTGAAAACATAAATGCCTAATTACCATATCTTTGGGTCATTGTAGACGAACAACTCTCTGCACAAGGTAAGCTTTATATGATCTTTAACTTAAAGTTCGAAAGTAGGACACTGTTGTCCTTTATCATTCTTTAATAAGAGGCTTTCTCTGAGGAAGGAAAAGTATCTAAAAATTTTACTTATTTTTGAGTGTGTGTGTGTGTATGTATTAGAACACATATTCTGTGGCACAGTGGAGAGGTCAAAGAACAACTTTTTGGAATTGGTTTTCATTTTTCACATTAACATGGACTCTGGGATCAGACCTAGTTCTTCAAGAGTGTTCAGCAACACACTTTACCTGATGTACTGGCTAGTTTTATATAAACTTGATGCAAGCTAACCATTTGGAAGAGGGAAACTCATTTGAGAAATGCCCTCCCCCCCCCCAGATTGGGCAAGCCTGTGGTGCATTCTTTTGATTGAAGCTCACTGTAGGAAGAACCACCTCTAGACTGGTAGTCTTGGGGCTATAAGAAAGCAGGCTGAGAGCAGACCACTAAGTAGTACCCTCCATGGCCTCTGCATCAGCTCCTGCCTCCAGGTCCCTGCCCTGACGTCCCTCACTGATGGAATTTAGATGAAATAAACCCTTTTCCCCCCAAGTTGCTTTTGGTCATAGTGTCTAACACAGAAATAGGAACCCTGTAACACTAAGACAGTGGGATAGGCAATTTTGTTGGCTAAAAGGTAGCCAGAATAGGCTGGGAATAAAAGATAAGGTTGCCTAAACTCTTTCTCCTAAGAAAAAAAGCATGAAAATTTGAGGTGGGACAGGAGCGCTCAAGCAGGACATAGGGTGAGGCAGGAAGTCAGGGCAGCAGGATGCATTGCAGTGGGAACTGGGGACCAGTGAAGATGAGAGGAGGGGTGAGCATACAAACTTGACTGGCAAATAACTTATTTTAGTGTGGGTACCATACTGAAATGCTTTGTAAGTCACTCTGGTACCCATAGATCCTCTCATGGGTTCCTGGAGAATACACAAGGAATGTCTTCCTGTGTCTCACCACAGAACTGGTTTGCTTGGGAAAGTTAAATTTTAAAACACTGTTTGCTAAATATAAATGTGATAGTCATTTTGGTAAACATAGATGAAGGACCAGAAAAGCACAAGTTCCTTTACTTGTTTCTTATTGGTAATGGCAATTAGAGGAAGGCTCCTGGCATTCTTCCCTACAGCAGGTAAGACATGAACTTCCCATGGCCCTCCGTCGGTTACTGTTTCCCTTTGTCACCAGACAAGAGAGCTTGGGTGTGAAGGGATTTCCTCCGGCTGTGGCCGCCCTGGCACGGAACGCAGAGCAGCAGCGTGTCTGCAGTCACACAGATCACAGTCACTGCTGGTGCTCAGCACCCGTGGTCCCTTTTCCTCCTTGGCATGCTTCCAATTACGGGTCCATCCATCTTCCACATGGTCTGTACCAACACACCCTGGTGCCTTTGTCTCCTCATCTAGGGGTTGTCAGTCTTGTTTGTTCTTTCCTGGCTTGGCCCTAGGTGCTATTGCAGATCTCGGCTCTTGCCTCTGCCCTCGGGGAATCTCAGCTGTGAACATGATGTTCCTGGTCTGTGTTCAGATAGTTATCGCTTAAGCATCAGGGGTATTGAATGCGGAGAGGCTGTGTGTTCTGCTGGCCTGGTACCTGGCTTCTGAGACAGTTGAGGCTCTTACTTTTAGCTCTTAGTCCACTTTCTCGTGGTTGAACAATTAATTTTGATACTAAGCAGATTAACTTACCTGAAGTTTCTGGTCATATAAGGGTCCTTGGGGTCTTACTGATAATTCTAGAGCTAGTTTATTTTTGTTTTCCACATGTGGGAGTGTCCCTGTAATAGTAAGGCACCCCCACATTGCATTCAGAGTCCTGAGTTGTTTCCCCACAGCCCTTCATATGCACATCTAAAGCTGGCCCCAGGGCTGGCCTCCAGCCCATGTGGGGTTGGTGCCAACTCCACACTCCTGCTCCGCCATCCGTCATTCCTCTCCTGTGAACCTTACAGCCTGGATATTGAAAAATCTGGGTTTAATTTTTTTTTTCAAGTCAACCGAATAGCCTGTACACATGGTTAGAAAGTGTTTGCAGTGTTGAATCAGGACTTGAAGTTAGCCATTTCAACACCACTCTTATTTCTTTTTAATCAGATTTGGACCATTCTTTTGGCAGGTTGTGTTCCTTACCGGCTTTGGATATGTGTATATGGACATTGCCCATCAGTGTGGCACAGTCTGTATCACTATAGCCCCAGAAGGAAAAGCAGGACCCATGTTAACCAGTGCCAACAGGTAGGTCTGTTTGCCTAAGAGAGCGTAGTGAGCTTTCTTCTGGAATGTTATACACCATTATTTATCATTCCTGTTGTCCATACACACATAGTGAAGTGTTTGATTATCATGTAATCCACAAGTAAAGATCTAGTTGTTAAATTTTTTCTCGAGCATATATAGACAATAATAGTAATAAAACATCTTTTTTGAGTCTACTGGTTCAATGGTAAGTTCAGCAAACTGATTTTCGAGCTACTGAATTTTGTGATTATTTTAAGTTAAGGATATGAATTATTTGCATAGCTTATATTTTTATTTCATTTTTGGGGTGAATGCTCATGCTGTGGTTCATGTGTGGCAGGTTAGAGGATAACTTGCAGGAATTGGTCATCTCTTTCTACCACGTGAGTTGTGGGGATAGAATTCAGGTCATTAGACTTGGTGGCATAAACTTCTACCTGGGAGCCATCTTGCTATCCCCTCTACTGGTGTGGGAAGTCCTTCTGTCTATGTGTTGCTTTTTTTTGGTTAATGAATAAAGAATCTGCCTTGGCTGGTGATATGGCAGAGTAGAGCTAGGCAGGGAAGACTAAACTGAATGCTGGGAGAGAGAAGGTGGAGTCGCTAGACACCATATAGCCGCCAGAGGGGAAAGATGCGAGCTGCCAGCTAGAACCTTGCCAGTAGGCCACAAGCCTCGTGATAAAATATGAAATAATGTTAATGGGTTAGTTCTAAATGTAAGAACTAGCTAGCAATATGCTTAAGCTATTGGCCAAACAGTGTTGTAACTTATGTAGTTTCTGCGTGGTTATTTTGGGTCTGGGCAGCAGGGAACCAACAAGCAGCTTCCTACAACAACAATGTGGTTACATTCTATTTTTAAGTGAATGACTATAATGAATACAGGTAAAGACATGTTTTTCATCTCCCTTACATGATTAAACACTTTACATATTACAGGTAAAAAAAAAAGATTCCAAGAATCCACATATATTGATACCCAAGCAACTTGTTACAGATTAACCATCTAGGCAAGCAAGATATTCTTCTCAGTCAGGTCTTTACTGGCAGGATGCGTTTTGCAGTTACAAAGAAAGGGCTTTATTATCTTGAAAGGTAGTCACAAGGACTCTTAAAGGAATCACAAACCTAAACTTAAATGAAAAAGAATCAGTCAGCTCTACTTTAAATCTTTTTTTCCCACAAGAGGGCACCAGAGCTCAGGACAGATGGCTGCGAGCCACCCTGTGGGAGCCGTGAATCGAACTCTGGACCTCTGGAAGGAAGACAGGAAGGAAGGGCAGTCAGGGGATGAGTGCTCTGAACCGCTGAGCCATCTCTCAGGGCGGTTTCTACTTTAAATCTTTAGGGTGCATATCCACTCATTAATAGTTTTTTTTAATATCAGGAGATTGAGGGCAGAAGTGGGTATAAGGAATTAATCATCACTTTTGGTAATCAACTAATCCTAGCAAGAAAGGTATGTCAGCCAAAGTTAACTGGGCTATTTTATTCTTGTTCCCTGACCTCAGTGAGTTCCACATTCGACTCTGTGCCTTTCTAAAACTTAAGACTGCCTTATTGGGTTTTCACCTCAAACAACAAAAACCTCTTAGTCTAGGTTTATTTTCAAAGCGTTGTTTCAGCTGTGATGCCCTCCGAGACCTGTGAGCACAGCTCCCAACATTAAGATGAAAAGGGTTTAAACTATCTGGGCTAGTTAGTCATTAACTTGAGCTCCTAGGGTAAAAACTCATGGGTCCTGGTTGTGTAGCACTTCCTTGTATTTTTATTCATGAAAACTCTGTATGAGCTATCTTTATTATTATCAATTTAGACAGTAAATCTTAGGGAGGGATCATCTTCTTGACAATCCACAGGAAAAATGCCCAGTAGGATGGGATGTTTCCAAGAGATAAACACAGTATATTACAGGCAGTGGAGATCTCCTCAAGTCCACTCACAACATGCTCGATAGCAGAGGAATATTGTAGTAATAAACATGTAAAGGCACAGCAGAAGCAGAAGACAGTCTGGGGTCTGTACTCCCGTGGCCTTGCCTGAAGGAGATTCACCCACCAGAGTTTCCTCCTGGTAGTCTGACGCCTCACACTTCAACTGCCACCTGCCGCTCCTCTGACAAGCCCACCAGCAGGAATTGGTACAATTTTCTTGAACAGTTTCTACATAATAAAAACTTCAAAACTCCTTTGGTTTAGAACAGTTGTTCTCAACCTGGGGTTGAATGGCCCTTTCATGGGGGCATATATCAGATATCCTACATATCATATATTTATATTATGATTCACAACAATAGCAAAGTTACAGTTAATGAAGTAGCAACGGACACACTTTCAGAGCTGGGTCAGCACAGCATGAGGAGCTGTATTAAAGGCGGCAGCGTTGGGGAGAGTCACTGGTTTAGAAATTCCACTTGGAAAAGTATGAGTTCAGAATAAAAATAATGAAAACAGCTGGGCGGTGGTGGCGCACGCCTTTAATCCCAGCACTCGGGAGGCAGAGGCAGGTGGATCTCTGTGAGTTCGAGGACAGCCTGGTCTAGAAGAGCTAGTTCCAAGACAGGAACCAAAAAAAGCTACGGAGAAACCCTGTCTCGAAAAATCAAAAAAACAAAAAACAAAAAAAAATGAAAACAGTACATAAGAATACACACAGAGATGTTCGTTTCATTGTTATTTATAGTGACATAATATTGAGAGTGCAAATGCTTATCAAATATATCAAAAATCACAGGATGTAGGTGGTAATGGCTGCAGTGGACCAGAAGAAGCATAGGATCTAATGTAATGTAAGGCATCAATTGGATGCTGAATATGTGTTCCATCTGTGTAAACAGACACCTGTATGTCCATCTCTGTAAACAGACAACTCTGGAAGAGGAAAAGTCAACATTAGTGACAGATGTGGATCTTTCAGTGCTTATTTATTAATTTCTGTACAGATGGATTTTTCTTTGGGCCTCCAGCTCACAGTTAACAACACAGAGACTTATATTAATTATGAAAGCTTGGCCTTAGCTTATCTTGTTTTTAACTAGCTCTTATAACTTAACACACTTCTGTTAGTCCGCATTGTCACGCAGCATGCACGCTGCTTCCTCCATGTCTTCTTGCATCTCTCTCTCATGAGCCTGGATTCCCCTCCTCCTTTCTTTCTCTGCTCAGAAGTCTCACCTATACCTCCTGCCTAGCTATTATCCATTCCACTTTTTATTATACCAATCATGGCAGTACATTTCACACAGTGTATAAATACCCCACAACATCTCTTGCTTTTGTCTAAATAGATAGGAAAGGTTTTAACTCTAACGCAGTAAAACTACAATAGAAGCAATTATTAAGGAAGAAATAAATTCACAATGTCCACTCCATTAGTATTTGGCAAATTCGAGAAAATATTCCATTGTCTGTCCTATCTTGGTATGTCCAAAGTTTTCTACCTCTCTTATTTATTATCCTAATTTTTATTATCAACCCAAAACTATCTTTTTAGACCTCAAAACATTATCTTAGGTAAACAACTTAAGCTTTTATGTCTCTCAACCCTATATATTTTACACCTTTTTTGTGGGTTTCTTTTCTGAATTTGGTAGCAAGGAAAACTCTAAGTATAACTAATCTTCAGTTCCATTATGACCCAAGAAGGAAGGATATACTGTAAACTGAGCAAACAGGAAGTGCAGAGCCAAAACTTTCAAAACTATAGAAACGACAGAAGCAGCTTGCTGCCTAGACAGTCACCCAAGGTTTCTCTGTAACATCTTCAGCCTGAAGGCCTAGAATATCTGACAGACTTTTCCATGAAGCAGGAATTTTGAAGGACTGTCCTACCTTGTCTTGGCAAAGCTTGGCAGTTTCTTCCTTTAGTGTCCTGCTTGTTCAATTTGGAGAGCATGCTGTCAGTGGTCAAGGCAAGTGGCTATCTTTGCCACAATGATAGCACACTCCATATGGAGGTTCTTTGATGTCCATAGTCATTCTTTTAAAGTAAATTGGTGCTGCCTGTAGCATATCTATCTCATTGTCATGAAAAGCCTTGATGCCATATTCTGTAGGTCTCTGAAGTATTTGAAGACCACCTATCTATCTAAAAATATATCTGCTTAACCCTGAAAACATACACAACTTGACTACAAGTTTGATTACTAATGATGACTAACTGATAACCTATATTTCTAATTATTCATTACATTTTTAAACGAGCTGCATAGGTAAAATACCTTAAACAAGAGTAGAAACATATATATTATAACAAAAACAAACTTAAATTTATATCAGTATACAAAAATCCATACCGATGTAACATATTTGAGATTAATAGTTGCTGTTTATTTTAAAGTAGATTCAATAATCTTTCCTTTCATCCTAACCTTTCCATATCCCCCTTTTTTCTTTAAGAAAGGGATCCTTGAATCCAACCTCCCTTGCTTAGTTTCCTTCCTTATCATGACCAGTAACAATTTATAACCAACTTCCCTAAATGATGACAAACATTCATAAACAGCTAAATGAACAAAAACCACCCACCCCACCTCTTGGGAATGTGGGCATTGTTGTGTGCTTCCTGTTGTCTGGGGGTGATGGCATCTTTAGAAGACCCTGAGAAAATTGAGATAGTGGTCTAGCCCCGGGAAAGCTAGCTGTATCCTTTGCTGTTTAGTCTCCGTGTGATAAGAAAGTGCAGGACCTGTCTGACGTCTTGTCTAGAGGATGTAAGGCTGGGCCATCTCAGCCTCCAGCTTTGAGGTTGTTCTGGATACAGAATTTTGAGAAACAGCAACAGAGGCATTCTGCAAGGCTGGATCACCTGGGCTACTTATCTCTATTGGAGTCTGGTTCTTTTGTTCTGAAAACACCGCCTTTTAAAGGTAACACACACCTGCACTAGCACAAGCATGGAATGTGCAGTGCACAGAGATCAGCTAAAGGTGAGTTTTTGTTCTATGTTTGAGCAGGTAAAAAGCATCTATAATATAAATCAGACCAAACTATAGTATAAATCTCTATCCATGCCATATGGAAAGATACCATGTAATAATAAGTCATAAGAACTCTGTAGCCAGCAGGGTTTACCGTGTCTCATCCGGTCTCAGAGCAGATACATCACTTGTCTTGTAGTCTTTCTTGTTTTTTTCTTTTCTTCTTGTCTGTAGCCAAGATTTTCAGGGGGTTTCTCCCAATCAAATCTGATCTTCATTAAGTTTGAAGAGAACCATAACTCTTTGTTTCCTGTAGAAACAAAGGCACACCCTCTCACAACACAACATATTTTCTGACTTCCATTGTGAAGTTAAAACATTCTTAAGATCTATAGATCGGCTTAGTCTAGCAGTTCTCATAATCTGATGTCTCAGCAGCTGTTGTTTTTGTACGTTGGCATTTTAAAAATTCAAGTCAACAAAGCGCCATACGGAATCCAAACACCCTGTGTATCTCCCATCTTTATGTGGCTTTTTTTTTACTCTTTCCTTAAGACTTTACTATATTATTTTTAAACTATTTATTTTTTTTCTATGGCTGTCTAGACCCATATTCTTTTTTCAGCATCTAAGCACATTTTTAAACGTATGCACCTTTTTAGAGGTTTCCTGTGTCTGAACATAGCTTTAAGCGCCTGAAGTGCTCTCTAACCACATAGAACAAATCTTCCGCTACCGTGTCAGCCCATGTCAGCCGAGAGCACGGCTCCAGCCCATAGGCAGCGGCCAGGAGCTGCATCTCTGTACTAGAGCAACCTGCCTGAGATACTATAGAACTCGGAACCCACATCTGACTTTGTCCCAGACTTAGCTTTCTCTGGTCCTCTGTGTGGGCATTTGAGCCGCAGCATTGGGCACCGTGAGGAGACAGACTTCTCCCAGGCTGTCAGCTCCAAACGGCAGCACAGGGACTTTGTTAACTAGTAGAGCTTGCCCTAGCTTAGGTTTGTCTTTAACTTAAATTAACTGTTTCTCCTGATCTGCATGCTGCTGTGTGCCACCCATCCTGCCGCCCCTCCACCTCGCTCTCATGGGCCTAGATTCTTCCTCCTCCTTTCTGCCCAGAAATCTTGCCTGTATCTCCTGCCCGGCCATTCAGCTTTTTATTTCACCAATCACAGCAATACACCTTCACACAGTGTATGAATATCCTACAACATTTCTCTACTTTAAATTTCTGTAATGGTTATATTTAAATTGCAGTATAAAATTATAGTGTCAATTTTCATACATTTGTTTAAGATTTTTAAAAATAAATTTCTTGTACCTTTGTATGACTGAAAACTCATTAGTTCAGACCTTGCTACTTTTTTATAATATTTCAAATAATATTAGATAGGATGCTTACTTTGTCCAAACATGTTTGTTTAAAAAAATAGTATAACAAAATTGGAGAGTAAAATTTGAATTATATAGAATAAGATCTCAAGTCTACACATGTATTTCAGAAAATTTTATCTAAGGCTTGAGTGTTAATGATAGAAGCCACAACCCACACATTTGAATGATACAGTGTCTACTCATATTTGTTTGGCTTGCTCTTCCATGGGTCATACATTCGAGTGCTTACTAGATGTGAGGTCTGTTCCAGGGATGGGGAGTCAGTGAGAAAAAAGATGGAACCCTTCACAAGATTCCATTCTCACAGGCAGAGAGGGGAGAGGCTGGAGCAGGGAACCCCCACCGGTGTGGGGTGTGGTAGAAGATCATCAGCACTAGAGGGTTAAAAACAGCCAAGTGAGAGCGGTGAGGCGGGGGCCTCAGGACAGGGAGAGTGAGTTGTGAAGAAGTTGGTTGGAAGGAAGCCTTTTCAAGAGACTGGCATTTGAGTGTGGGCTTGAAAGGAAGTGCTTTCCGGTCCCAGCCAGTGAGATGAGAAGGGCAGGAGCCCGGGGATGAGGGCTGGGTGGGGAGCAGTGCGTGCTTTAGTGCCTCATGAGCTGTTGTGAGCACACGAGTCTAACCCTGGTGAGCTGAGGAGCTGGTGAGCATTTAAGCAGAGAGGTCATGTGAGACTTACTGTGTAGATCATTGGCTGTTTTGTTGAAGTAAGATCTAGAGAAAGAGGGCAAAAGCAATTAGGAACCTCCTCCAGTTGCCGTGGGTGTTCACACTAGAGGCCCTGCTATGGGGAAAGTGGTCAGATTCTGGACATACTCTTACGGAGAGCCCAAAGGAGTCCTGCTGTTAGGATAGGGACTTGAAATAGAAGCCTCTGGAAGGATTCTGATCCTCTAGTTGGATGCGGTTGCCATCAACTGAAATGAGAGAGGCCGCGTAGACTGCGGGTAGGAGCAGAGCTCCATCGCAGACGTGGTAAAGTTGTTTGTCAGTGGAGATGGGGAAGGAAGCCGTGTGCTAAGTCTGAGCACCACTGGGGACTGGGGTAAGAGAAGCATCACCAGTCAGAGGGAGGGGAAGGATTCACTGGGCAGGGGAGCAGAGAGTTCTGTGAGAACACAAGGGAGGATGTGTGTCCTGGAAGAGGAGGGTGCTAACAGCCACAGATGGGGCTTTTGCTTTAGTGCTAGTGGCCTTGATAAGGAATAACTTTGTCAGATTGGGGAACATAAGCCTGCCTGCAGCAAGCTTCAGAGAACAGAAAGGGGAGAGTCGGAGGTGCGGAGGTGGTATGTGTGGAGATGCTGCAGTTTCTCCTAAAGAGGGCTAGAGACATGGGAAGTAGGTGGAGAAGGAAGAAGTGAGGCTGTAGCAGGGCTGTGTCTGCTCAGAAGAGGATACAGCGTGTTCGAGCACAGGCAGGATCGCAGAGGACGGAGTGTGGAGCACCTGGCACTCTAGAGCAGGGGAGGAAGGGAGGGGTGCTGGAGGACCTGACCAGGGACTCTTCAGCTCTCGGAGTGAGGGCAGGGTGGGTGGGCAGGACACACCGCGCACAGTGGTTGTAGGTCCGTGCTGAACTGGGCTTTCTTCTTGCTCAGCTCCTCTTTCTAACATAAAGAGTATTGCTGATATTTTTATCTGCCATGATCATTATAACAGAGAACTAGTGCATAGAAATGAGGGATTTAGAGTAAAAAGGGGGGATCTGGTGTTGATAAGAAAAAACACTTACAAAAACATGACAAGAGCTTGTAATAGTCCCAATGGGAACGTTCCCCAACTGTCTCCAAGCATGGCTGTCTCTGTCCAGACATGCACTGAAGTTGAGTTCTTATTTGTTTTATGTCCCATCATGGGGTACACAGTGAGGCACTGTCCTTGAAGAAGAGACACTAACGAGCTTTGCCCTTCTAGAGCTCTGGAGAAGATGGTTACTTTTAAAACGTTCATCACCCGCCTGAGCCTGGCAGTGACTGACGACCTCACACACCACAAGGCATCATCTGAGCTTCTAAGGCTCACTCTGGACAACATTTTCCTCCACGTATGCCCTGTGCCCGGTGTCCTCCCAGGAGAAGAGCCTCCGTCCACCCTGCTCCAGCTTTTCGGTGTGGAAGTCTACTTCGGGGACCTGCAGCTGGACAACCAGCTTTATAACAAGTCCAATTTCCACTTCGCTGTCTTGGTCTGCCAAGGAGAGAAGACAGAACCAGCTCAGTACTCGAGAGTGCAGAGTCTCCTGGTCTCCAGCAAAGCCTTGGAGGAATACAAAGAGAACTGCTTCATCAAGCTTCGCCTCACTGTGTCTGAGGGGACGAACTTCCTTTTTGATGTCAGTGAGTTCTTTGTTGAACTGAAACCAGCGCGGCTCTATGTGGAGGATACCTTTGTCTACTACATCAGAACCTTATTTGACACCTACCTTCCTCACAGCAGGGTGGCTGGAGACCAGGCACAGCTTTCTGCAGGGGAGCAGGTGCTGCCCATGCAGGTGAGACAGCACGCCAGGGCCTTGGTGAACCCGGTGAAGCTACGGAAGTTGGTCATCCAGCCAGTGAACCTCCTTGTCAGCATCCATGCCTCTCTCAGGCTGTACATAGCCTCCGACCACACCCCTCTGTCCTTCTCTGTGTTTGAACGAGGACCAGTGTTCACCACGGCGAGGCAGCTGGTGCACGCGCTGGCCATGCAATATGCTGCTGGGGCTCTCTTCAGAGCAGGTGAGGGTGCAAGTGAGGGGTCTGGGGTGGGCCAGCACCGGGCAGAAATGGCTCTGTCTGTCTGACAGCACAGGGGAGGGCAGGGAAGGGATAATGCGTGTAGGCTGCACGCCTAACAGAACTAGAGCTAGGTGTGGACCGTGACAGTGCAAGCCTTGGATGACTGCCACACCTCCCTGAGTCTGCATTTCCATCTGAGATCAGCTGAAGTATGCCAACCCTGGCATTTTACTTGGCACTTAATAGACTCTCAAGCCCTCATAGCTATAATATTTTAAATGTTACCTAACATAGAAATTAGTTAAATTTAGCAAACACATTTTTGAATGCCTTACAGGCCCAAGACTCTGTCTCAGAATACGAGTGAAGCTGGGAAGGTCAGCCTGGCCCTCAGCTCCTGGCCTGAAAGACTTCCAGTTCTAGGTGGCCAGTTTCCCTCTGTACTGATTGTGTAAGTGGGAAGTTCAGAGTCAAAGCACGTGCCGAGAGCCCCGTGCATCCCCAGCAGGCACTGCCTGGCTCGACAGAGCACAGAGAAGGCTGCGGGTGGCTCTGTTCAGTGGCAGGCAGTGGCCTGCTGCAGACTGTGGGATGCTTTTATGCTAGGGGCCGAGGAGAGAGGCAAGGTTTCTGTTTCCCGTCTCTCTAGAAGAGCCTGCACGGGGTGTCTGGGTGAGGGCAGAATTTCCCATGGGGAGTACTGTGTGCTAAGGATCAGGAGTCCCTGTGATCTCAGCTACTTGACAGCCATCGTCTCCAGGGCGTGTGTTTCTGAGACAGGGCCAGGCTGATAGCCTGGTCCTCGTGGTCACTAGCAGTCATGTCCAGAGCAACGCCACACTTGGCTTCCTTAAGTCTTAAGAAGCTGAAGACTGACTTCCTGGAGTGCCGCAGGTAAGAGCTGCTGTCCTTCCGTCCTCAGGCCTTGTGCTTGCAAATGCATCACCAGAGACAATTCAGACTGCGACAGTTGACGAGAGGCCAGTAATCATGCTACATGCATAAGACTAAACTTTCTCCTTGATGACATACATAGAGAGAATAGGGCTCTCCTAACTTCACTGTAGGAGAAAGTGGCGGCTGCTGGCTGAGAGCCTTTCTGACTTGTTGTCTGGATAGTTTGCACAGTAGTGAAGAAAACATCTCCCCTTGCTAAGGAGTCATTGTAAAATAATCTATAATACTTTAAACTGAATAAATGTGTGTATCTGCAAACTACTCCAGACTTACCCTTCTGGCCGGTTGGCTTGTAGCAGAGCTAATCCAATGCCAAGGCAGGAGGAAGGAAGGCTCCCTGCAGGAAGATGGGCTGGAGGACAGACAGCCCATGCCCAAGCAGCCATGGCCTCTGGAGCCTTAGTGCTGAGCTGATGGCCTTGTTTACTAGGGGAGCTCATGTCACCCTCTCTCGGGCTTTTTCCTAATTCACTTAAAAATCCTGTGATTTATCTCAATCTGAATACATAGAAGGGAAGAAATTCTAATACCAAAGCTAGATTCTTTAGAGCTGTGGAAATATGGTCACTAAAACACTGTGGTCAGTCAGAATGTTTTCTGAAGAAAGCAGTCTTCGGAGGAGTGAGAGATAGATCACAGTGAGGGTGGCTGACAGGCCGAAGGGACTCACATTCCTGTAGAGGGGGTGAGGGCTGGCCAGGAGGAAGCAGGGTGTATCCATCTCCCTTGGGTCAGCATTCACTCACTGGACCCGAGAAGGTTCCTGCCTGGGATAGTTGAAAACACCCTGACCTCATTTCTAGGGAAGCTTGTGAGGTCATTTGACAAGGCTTTAACAATAAATGACTGCTAACTAGAAACGGGTAACCCTATCCAAAGGAGGGGTGTGGGCTTGAGACTTTCCGAGGTCCTTAGCTGCCTCTCACTCTCATACCAGCCTAAGTAGACTCAGGTTATCCACAAAATGTGCAGATGGCCTTCTGTAGTCTTGAGTTCGACCATCAGTAACCTGAAAGTACCCAAAGGATCCGTGTGAACAGGACTTTTGTCCAAGACGTTATCCCTTAAATGTGCAGCACAAAGAGGCCTGCACGATGGCCGGCTTCCGGCCCAGTGGGTAAGGGCGAAAGGAGAGGGCTGGCCCTTACAAGTTGTCTCCTGGCCTCCACAAGTGCGCTGTGGCCTTTGCACACCCAGCCTCACAAGTGCGCTGTGGCCTTTGCACACCCGGCCTCCACAAGTACGTTGTGGCCTTTGCACACCCGGCCTCCACAAGTACGTTGTGGCCTTTGCACACCCGGCCTCCACAAGTGCGCTGTGGCCTTTGCACACCTGGCCTTCACAAGTGCGCTGCGGCCTTTGCATGCCCACGGCCACACAAATAGGGAAATAGAATAAACATTTTAAATTCAGCATAAAAACATTTGATGCAGATTTTGCATTATGCTCAGTATTACACAGTCCAGAGGGTTTCCACATGCTGGAGGCTGAGGAGGCCCAGCGCACACTCTCTGTACATCGGGGACTGGGCATCTTTTGGTGTCTGCAGAGCCCTGTGTCTGTTGGATGCAGAGGAACCACTTCATCTGCTCTTGTGGAAAGCCAACAGAGTATTCCTAGATGTTTCTCACGCCATAGACCATCCTCTAGGGGCATCGGGTTTCTCTGAACATAGCAGGGGAAGTGACCAGGAAGAACAGGAGAGGACGCCCAGTAGGGGTGGGAGCTGAGAGACAAGGCTGGGCCATCCCCCCCCCCCCCCCGCCTCCATTCCCAGGTCTCCATATCTGAAGCAGAGCTCATGAAGATTCTCCTTGACATGTACATCAAGGGAAACCAGTGTTTCTAACCCAGCCCTCAAATGGAACCTTATGACCATTCTAGACTAAGAAAAATCTGCTTTTTTAACCCCCACAGAGTACCTTTCAGGAATAACTTATTCCACATGACCCTGCTTTTTTTTTGGGGGGGGGGCAGCGATCAAGTAAACTAACCTAGGTTGTAAACTCTACTCCCATGTCTCATCAGCCTGGGATTGTGACTTACTGACATAATCTTAGCCTTAGAGTCCTCTGCTTCCTCCCCAGGGGAGGTACAACCCCACAACACCAAGTGGACAATTTGCAAGGTGATGGTGGCACCGTCTGGAGGATCCCATGAGCAATGCCTTCCCCTAGTGTGGCTCCCCTCCCCATTGTGACTGAAACCCACCTGGTCCTGTCCTCACAGCTTTCCCAGTAAAAAGGCCACAGCACTGGGCTGCTGCCTGAAGATTCCTGGAGGAAGTTGCATTTTCAGATTCCCCCCCACTTGACCCTGGTCCTCGCCCCCAGCAGCCGAAGGGGAAAGGCAGCTGCTGTGGACACAGCACAGCCTCATTCCCACGAGGCAGAAGGTGGTGCCGGCCGCTGAGCAGGCCAGCTCCTGGCAAGCCTGAGTTTAAAGAGGAAACCAAACCCAAAGCCACCCTCCTGGGACTTTGGTGGGGAACACTTCCCTCTCTCTAACCTAATCAGTATGTCCCTGTCATTGATGTTTACACAACCGAAGCTGGGGTTGAAGGGGAGACATTTGTTCGCGCCAGCCCCACTCTAAGAGAAGCACTCAGCTTGATAGGATTGGGAAAGATTAAAAATAACTCCTCCATCCTTGGCAGAGTTTGCATCCCTTTTGCAACACTCTATTTAGCATCTGGCTTCTCCCCACCAGGCAGCTCCTGCTGCTGCTGCCCTGGCAGGTTGGGACTCCCAGCCTGTGAGCACCTGCAGCCCAGAGCGCCTGCCTGGGCCAGGGGTGTTCTCTGCACATGGTTCCCTTTACAGGGGTACAGGAGGCTGAGACACAAAAGTCATATTAAAGCCATTTGCAAGGCTGCCAGGGGATCACTGTGATTTATGAAGTATGAAAGTTCACCATTTATGAATTCATGGAGAATGAGTTATTTCCCATGTTTTGCTCCAAAGAAGCTTATGACGCTCTCCGTTCTAGTGTGAGAGGCAACTTCAGGGAAAGCAGGCCGCGCTCCACAAATGTTGAAAGTGGAACTCAAGGTCTCACTAACTCCTCCCTTTGTGTGCTGCAGGCTGGGTGGTGGGGTCTCTGGAGATCCTCGGCAGCCCCGCCAGCTTAGTGAGAAGCATCGGCAATGGGATCTCGGACTTCTTCAGGCTTCCGTACGAGGGACTGACGCGAGGCCCAGGGGCCTTCGTGAGTGGAGTCTCCAGAGGGACCACATCGTTCGTCAAGCACATCTCCAAAGGTAGCCGTGGAGTCCTCGCCAGTCTTTGTCTTGTTTTCCAAGTGTTGAAGCTTCTCAATTCTTTAGCCTCCAGCTTCTGAGGTGTGTTCGCTTGCTGTGAACGCTGGTCTTGTAGCAAAACATGTGCATACTGCTCTGTGTTTTAAGCAAGTCACTGCTTGCCTGTAGTGTATGAAAATATTTCAGAAACTTGAGGATTTTAAACCTCTCGCTGGGAATACATGGACGGACTTAACCATTATTCCATGCGATAAATATAGAAATATTGAAAGCATCCATGATTTCTGCTCAGCATCAGGAATCCTACACCAGTTGCCTCATCATATTTTTTAAATGTAGCTACAGTTGTCATAACTTTGTTAAGGACAGGACTCCATCTGATGGGGAAGCGGGTTCCTAGGCAACCTCACCGCAGCTCCCTGCTTACACAGTGCCATCTTGTGGTCCACACGGGTCACGGGCATGGAGGCTGAGCTGCTTCCCACCAGGAGAAAGCTTGCATTTCATCCAATGTTTGCTTGATATTTTGGTCAGGTTGGCAGCGACTAGGGAACTAACAAGGGCCATCTGAGTCCCCTTTTCTTCTCAGCAGGAGGCAGAGAAAACAGGGCAAAGGCCTTCTTGCCCATAAAAGGCATTTTACTGTAGACAATACCATAACTCTGTTATGAGTGGGCAGGTTACGGAAGTCTCTAGAAGGCCTCAGAAGAAGACTTAAGCTTGAAATACGAGAACCCATGATCCATAGAGAGGAGGGGGCTGCGGGTGGGGGATTGGCAAGAGAAGAGCAAAAGCAATAAAAACAGAGTTGGTGGACAAGGAAAGGGAGCCGCCCCAGCCCCAGATCCCGGAGGCCTGGGAGCTAACTAGGGAGTCACAGCTGTGTGCCTGGTGGGCTTCGTGCTCCTGCCACGCAGGCTCTGAGGCCTCTTGTTTCTCTTTACAGTGTCACAACAAACACCGCTGATTGAAACTCCCCGGTTAATTTAGTATCCTGACTGGGGTGTACGTTTGTTCTATCTGCGTGTGCATGCGTCTGCGTGTGTGTGTGCACACGTGTGCATGTGTGTGCGTGTGTGTGCACGTGTGTGTGTGTGCACGCGTGCACATGAATATTCTCCCACAGGTGGATGGTGTCTTCCTTCCGGTTTTGCTGACTGCGATACCCTGCACTTGGTGGAGGGCTAGGACTGTGGGAGCGTGGGACTGAAGTTATCTTTCTGATGAAAACAGAATCGTTGCTCTGACCTTCTGTTGTCCTTTCTAGTAGTAACATATTGATCACCAAAACTACATAAATTTTCTGTAGTAGTTTTTTCCTCTGAATGCCAAATGGTAAGAGTTTGGTACCTCCCTTCTATAAGACTGAAGCCATGGCTAGCTGTGGTCAGGCTTGCTGAGGAGGATCCCAAATCCAAAGCCAATCTATCTTACAGAGGAGAAGAGGAGGGAGGAGACTGAATTCATAAAAAGACAAGTGACTTTAGTCCTAAAGTGGGAACATTTCCAGGTAATCTATAAAACCAAGCACCATAACCTTAACAGGTAAAATGAGCTCAGAAAGGCAAATAGTCAGTAGAACGCTTACCTAAGCAAGGCCACGGTTCAGCCCTCACCAGCATATGTACGTCCACGTGCACACGCACGCACGCAAGCGCAGGTAAATTTTAAAATTGGACCCCATGGAGGCCCTGGAAAGTGTCTCCCCGAGTCTCAGCAATGACTGGAAGGGCGTGGAGCTCTTAGCTGCACACTAGAGATGCTGGCACTGCTCTGCTCAAGAGTCCTGAGTGTCACTCCTCACAGCACATGCTGCTGGTGTGCTTTCTCCATGTCCCACCCTACAACCTCCAGGGCCACCACCCCAAGTCCGCCATGTCTGTGACCAGTAAATCAACCCATGCCCTTGTGCCCTCAGGTACCTTGACATCCATCACCAACTTGGCCACCAGCCTGGCCCGAAATATGGACCGGCTCTCGCTGGATGAAGAGCACTATAACCGGCAGGAGGAGTGGCGGCGGCAGCTTCCTGAGAGCCTGGGCGAGGGACTGCGGCAGGGCCTGTCCAGGCTGGGCATCAGCCTGCTCGGTAAGGGACTGTGGCACCCCTGCCCATCTTCACCCAGCTCTGCAGCTCTCCCAGGAATGGCCACGGTGCCTTTTCCGTGGGAGTGGTTAGGAAGTTCATGACCTTTCAGAGGCAGAGCTGAGCCTAGAGAGGATTGGACACTTGCTGGGCGGCCTGCAGTGCTTCTGTGGAGCATAGGATGGGACCGGCTCCAATGAGTTGTGCCCGTCCTTCCCTGCCTACCAAGGGCTCCACAGGACACCCCTGACCCCTCAGGAGTAGCCACAGCCGTGCCAGTGTTCACCCCACAACCATGCTGCATGCTGTTGTCTGAGCAGAATGGGCAGTGTGCACATGCCATGGAGACTGGTGAGGAGCCAGCTTCCCCTTCAATTTATATATTTCAGATCAGCCCCTCTCAAAGCAATTATTGTTTGTCAAGGAGCCAGATGGTATAGTTGGAGGTGAAGATTGCTGAGGGTCTTTCCAAGTATCAAGTGTTTGAAAATCAGTTGCTTTGGAAAAATCTATAAAAAGGAAGCTTCAGAGCTAGAAACGTGCAGGGCGGGGTTTGGGGTCTCCAAGGGTGCTCTTTATTTGCTTACAAAGGAATCTAAAGCTGAACTGCTTGGCGCCCTGCCTCCCATGCATCCCAGGGAGTTTGCAGGTGTGGAGATGAAAGCGACAAGGAGGTGCAGAGCAGGGGAGAAGAGAGGAGCCTGGAAGACCTCCTCCTCCCTATCCTGATCTCCACTCAGCTCCCCACCCAGCAGCACAGCGGGCGAGGCTGTGGGAGGAAGCGGTAAAATGTTCCAAGCACAGGTTGACTTACTGGAGATTATGTAAGCAGTAACAATCTGTGGCGTGGGATGCTGTCATTTGAAAATGACAGAATGGCGGAAAGGGGACGCCAGTGACCTGTGATGAGTTCTGGGTAAACCAGCAGTCTTCTTGCTTGATTCTGCAGTCCAGTAGCCATGGACTCCTTGGTGGGGATGGAGGGTAGAGTGACAGTGGACAGAACTGTGTCCTTCAGGGCCCTGGACTCCAGGCTGTTACCCAAGTCCTTTCTTAGTGACCTTAGACAAGGTTTTAAAGGCTTTCATCCTGGGTGTTTGTAAACTGGAGCTGATAATGCAGTTATAAGAAACAATGAGCAGGCAGGGGCCACAGGGCACATATGGGGTAGGCACAAATCGTTGTCATGTTCTACAATTCAAGGGACTATAAATATTGCCCTGACTTCAGAAACAGCACTTGAGCAACTATAGGAATGTTGTTGGGAAAGTCTAGTCGGCTGACGTCACTCAGTCCAGAGGGACTGACAGTAGGTTATCCTGGGGGCCTCACGGTGGTTATGTGGGGACTTGGGCTGCTTGAAGCTGAGTCACCTTTGCGGTGGCACAAGTGCTCCCTTTACCTTCTCAGAGATCTGAGCTGTTTCCATCCTGGTCCTGACTCTTCCCACAAGGAAGCTCTGTCACCCACCAGCCTCCCTGTCCAGAGTTTACCCTCTGGCAGAAAGCTCTGCTGTGTTCCTCAGGTCTTGCTGTCCTCTGCTGTTCTGGCTCATGTACTGTCTGCATCAGAGGAGGATTTGAGTGTCCACCCCACCCCTACCACCAGTGCCAGCACTGGCCAGTGGGACCCCAGGAACTCCAATCCCTAACACCCCTCCCCCAAGAGCTAGACATTTCTGGATTCCTCAGAGTGTACAGTGCATGGCTCCAGCTCGGTGAAGTGACTTCCTTTCCTCCAGGGGTTCCAGGGCCTGTCTGTGCCACACAGAATATACATGGCTCCAGAACACCAGATGTGTGCCAGGAGGAAGAGAAACAAGCCTCCTTGTCACCATTCCAACTGATCCCCAGAAAGTGTTTAAAATTGCCACATGTAGCTCAGAGCTCTGCTCAGGTTGGGGCTGCTGTTGTAGAATAATTGAAGCCCTCAGCAGGGACTGAAATTCTAGCTTCTCAGACTTTCCCCTCTCTGGGGACTCAGTGCTGAGATGTATTTACAGAGCACTTGAGGGCTGACGAGAATGACACGTGTCATTGTGCTCCCCTCAGCAGCCTTGGAGTCAATTTTAAGTGGCTTTCTCCCCATGTCACCTCCTCTCAGGGCTCCCCGCTTCGAACCCATCAGGACAGTAGAATGAACAGCTGAGAGCTCCAGGGGGAAACTGCATTTCCCCTAAATGCACCCCCTTTTTGCCTCCTTGGGACACTGGAGTGCTGTGAAGCCCTTGAAAGTCCAAGGACGTCTGAAGCTACTTCCAGCCATGCGGCTCCAAGTCAGTGAAGCCAACAGGGCATTGGCCGAGCTTTAGTCCCACATTTTGGGACTGTGGGTCCTGCAGAATTGGCACTGGATTTGTTTACACGTACCAGATCCACTTCACTTACCCAGAGTGCCACAAATGCTTCTGTGCCCTGGACCCATGCTAGGAAAAGCTGACCACTTCCACATCCAAGTCCTGCCTCTTCCCCTCGACAAGGGTCCTATTGCCTAACTAAACCTATACAGTTGTACTGGGTCTCACCCGTCTTGGCACACTCTGGGAAGAGGCGGGCTGGGGCTTTCAGAAGCCCCAACTAAACAGGCTATGATAGGAGGGCCGGAGCAACAGAGGAGGTGCACTTAAGGAGGCCCTGGGACACATCAGATCTGCTCCCAGCAGTTGGATTTTCAGTTAGCTGGGACTCAGAGTGACAGATTCAAGCTTAATTGCTTCCCAGTTTGCTCTTGGTTCTGTCAAGAAAAGCTGGCCCCAAGCTGGAATGCCAACTGCACTATGTGGGTCTCACTGGTAGGTACCCCAGCAGCGTGGTGTTCTAGCTTAGGCCTATACCCCGATTGTGAAGAGTAACAACAAAAACTGCATTCTATGAAAATCTGCCATCAAAACAGAGGAACAATAAATGCCCTGTGGATTCCTGGAGTCGCAGAAGAGAGAAGGAAGCACTGGGTGGTTCATGCTTCTTCAGGACAGGCCTCCCACAGCTCAGAGTGCTGCTCCCCTGCTGCCTACGGCCTAGCGCTGAGTCCGTGGGTGCCCCTCCCCCCACCTCACTTCATATTACAGCTCTCCATGTGACCACCCCCTCCACAGGCTGGTTGCCAACAAATTTTGAGATCAGTTTCCACTACCTCAAATCTTAGGGCAGTTTGAGCATATGACAGTAAAGAACTTAGCGGTGGTGGGATTTGGCTCGGTTGTACCTAGAGGCCTCCTAAAGCCCCCAGGAGCTGCTTCCCTCAGCCGGATTTACACACTATAGGATGGCTGTTCATATCCAAACAGCCTCTGTTCTCCAGGGCCCTCTGGACTATATGAAGGGTGACTGCTGCTCACTGCAGAGTCTAGGGCTGACCTGGAGACAAGTAACCCTGCAACTCCTCTCTAACTGGCGGAATCTAACACTTCATCTTGGAGTTCAGGGTTCCCATTTTTCTCTATCAAAACCACCGCAATTGGAGTCTTGAGTAAGTATAAGAAAGTATGAGATCAAAAGGGAGTTTGACTGAGGTACCTGTTTACACTTAAGTAAGTGAGCACCCCATGTGGATGTTATCAGCTATAAAGGGCACAGTCCTTGCCCAGGTTAGGTCTGGCACATGGAAGGGAAATGAGGGAAGATCCTAAAATGAGGCAAACACCTGCACAATTCAGAGTCAATAGTTATAATGAAAGCCAAACTGGGGAAAGGGCATTTTCACCTGAAACATTGGCAATAATTTGTGGCGTATTTGCAATTATTTATCCTAGCTATTAGGTGGAGGATTAAGGATCAGGAAGTCAAAGCCATCCTTGCCTCTGTAGTGACTTGGAAGCCAGTCTGGGCTACAAACCAGTTTCAAAACAGACTCCAGTCCCTGGGTCTTCATTGCACTGCTCCCTGCCCCACCCCCGGCCACCGACAGCACCAGCTGCCTAGGGTGCTAAAAGATGCTGCCCTGCTCTTAGGACCAGCTGGAAGCCGTCATCTCCCCTCCACCACTTATTTCCTTAGGTGTGGGTGGCATTACCCTAAGCTGTCACCGCTGGCAAATTCTTAGTTTGTCCATTCATAAACTTAAATGTCTGTTAAAACCTAAAGGCCTGGAGCCTATGAAGAGCAGTCCCCTTGGATGTGACCTGAAGGAGCTAGTCTAGTCTTCTGTTTCAGTGCTCAGTGGAATACAGCTTGGAATTAGCAGATCATTAACAGAGACCTGGAAATCTCCTTTTACCCAAGAGACCTTGAATTGTTGGCACGAGGAATAATGGGATTTGACATGCACTGACATTTCCACCGTGGGACTGTGCATTTGCAGTGCTCCTGCCGGTTGTGAGCAATCTCTCCTGAGCTAAGGAGCCCTCTGCTACATCAGGGAAAGTCAGAATGAAGGTAGAGGACTGTGAGCCGGGAGGGATGCCTTTCCTTTCTAACTGCCTTCAAGCTCAGTTTAAAGATGGTGGCTGCACCAGGAAGGCTGTGAAGCCAGTAGTGTAGCCAAACCTCAACTAGAGAAAGAAAGAAGGTAGTTTTTTCACTATGGAAAAGGAGAAACGAAGCTGTTTGATATAACAGTAAGCAAATAACCAAACTCAGATCAAGGTCCAACCACTCAACAGTTGTGTGACCTTGGGAAAATCCCTTAACCTCGCTGTGTTTGTTGGCCTTACTCACTGAATTGCGATGTTAAATGACCTCATGGGTGGAGGCCTTTGTACAATTCATAAGCTCTCAATAGACTATAACAAATAATCTGTCAACAATTACTTTTATTAAGTAAAAATTAACAGTGATAATGTTGGATTATTAGGAAATAATTGTTTTAAGTCAAAGGAGTGGTGAAACAGGCCAGCAAGAGTGGTTGCTGTGAAATCCCGGGTCACTGGGTGAACCCCAGCATGTGTGTAAAGGAGCAGGGCATAACTACATGCAACCCAGCAACAAAGGGTAGAGACAAGCACTGGGCAGCTAGCCTAGCCAAAATGGAGGG